GCCAGGAATGATAATTAATAAGAAAGAAATGGGATGGAGTCCATCTAAATGACCCTCTGCCTTCTCTTTCAGGGTCTGCATCACTTGCATGAAACGGGCAAAATGCACAGAGACATAAAGGTGGAGCTTGTCTGTTATTCCTTGGCAGAGTGATAAGTTAAGGTCTAGCTGTGCGAATCCTTTATAAAATGTAAATCTATATGTGTTTTCTAGGGAGCTAACATCCTTTTGACCGAACGAGGCGACATCAAACTGGGTGAGTGATCTATGTTACACGCCGTCATCACAACCACATTCTCATCTTGCTATAGGGGGGGAGGACAGTCGTTTTTAACCTTTTCTATGCCCTTACCCTGACAAGAAATTTAACCACCACCTTTACTTTAACCTGAGCTCTACTCGCATGTGAGGAGCAGCTAAATGTCCGCACTTCAGGGACGGCTGGCTTGCAAGCAAAGTCTTTGTTCTGTGGAAAAATCCTCCAGCGCTTTATGGAAAATTAAAATTAATACGAATTAGCATTAGAGCCAGGCTACAGATTTTTTTTCTTCTATTTTGGGAATAAAGCCGTAAAATAATGAGAAAAAAGTCGTAGCATTACAAGAAAGAAGTCGTAAAATTACAAGAATATAGTCATTACATTATGAGAAAAAACGTAAAATTGTGAGAATGAAGTCGTAAAATTGCGAGAATTAAGTCGTAACATTACAAGAATAAAAGTCGTAACATTACGAGAATAAAGTCGTAAAATTACAAGAATATAGTCGTAACATTATGAGAATAAACGTAAAATTGTTAGAATGAAGTCGTAAAATTACAAGAATAAAGCCATAACATAATGAGAAAAAAGTCGTAGCATTACGAGCAAGAAGTCGTAAAATTACAAGAATATAGTCATAACATTATGAGAATAAATGTAAAATTGTGAGAATGAAGTCGTAAAATTGCGAGAATGAAGTCGTAACATTACAAGAGTAAAGTCGTAACATTACGAGAATAAAGTCAAAGTGGACTCTGGTTGCTGATTGGTGGAATGTTACGACTTTATTCTCGTAATGTTACGACTTCATTCTCGTAATTTTACGACTTTATTCTCGTAAT